ACACATACTCACAATTAGTCTTTTTAATGCTGTCATATGTTTAGAATATTGTAAAACGTTTTATGTTCTTCTTGTCTAAATAAAAATATTATAGATTCATGTTTTGCGTCAATGAAATATTTACGCCGCGACAAGTAGACTTCCGTCGCGTCTATTTCGACGTCACGTGGTTTATTTTCAAGGAGGAAACTAAATAATAAGTTATAGCTGTATATCTATGCTTACAGAACGTGTGTCTAAAAGATTTTTCAAAGATGATTTATGAAATGTTTTTAAAATATTATATATATATGAAAGACGTCTTACAAATCAGTGAACAATCGCTATTTTTAATTCCAAATTCTCGGGACCATAATTCCTAAAAATATGAAAAATTCTTAGTATTTTAGTTACTTTAATATATATATTTTATATTTTTATAACATTTCGTATCATTATATGCATGCTCTGTTACATTTTCAAAAATGGCAAAAGATACACATATTATTTAAAAAATAGAAAAATTCAAAGTTGTATAATTAATTATATTTATATAAAATACTTGGAAAAGTTGGAACACCTTGTATATCGAGCAACGCTATTATTCACACGCAGACTTAGATAAACAAACAGATGTTTTCGGAATGATATACGATATTGGCATCGCAAAATAACAAATATATGATGTATTGTACAAAGTGCCATTTTCATTGTTTGTGTCGCACAACTCTTATTAATAAAATTTTTAAAAAACTTAATTACTATTTAAATGTTGAAAGAAATATCTTTGTATAATTTCTTACATGACATACAAAGTAAATATTTTGCAACAGTAACAATTACTAATAATAATGTCTCATTAATCATATGTCATGTAGTTAGCTTCTAGCTAACAGAAATGAAGATTAAGATGCCATCTAGAAATAATTTTACCAACTTTTCGGTGGATTCAAGTATGGATCGACAAACTCGGTGAATAAAATAGTACGTTTGACTTGCTTTTTGTAAACATATATTTAACCTCCCTCGTGACAAATGATGCGTATATTGGCTAATAAATGCAAGTAAATTAGAATATAAGATTATAAGAAAATAGTTACATACCTCGTGCTATACAACGTCTATACAATGGTATTTTGGACACAAGTACTTTTAGCTTCAGTGAAAAAAGTGAGTAGATCTTATTGAATTAAGTATCAAGTGTGTGTATGTGTTACATGCATTAATTACTAAAGAAAATTTTTCGTTTTATCACAGCAACCGAGAAAATATCTACGTTCTAGATTTATTGACACGCTCCGTCTTCATGTTAGAGGAGGTACAGGAGGTGGTGGATTGTCTCGTTATGGAGGGATAGGAGGGGATGGGGGTAATATATACTTAGTTGCAAAAGATGGGCTAACATTGGAGAATGTTGCCAGTACTTTGAAGACCAAACGGATCATCGCAGATTGTGGAAAAGACAGTTCAGCAAGGGGAATTATAGGTGCACCTGGTCAAGATACAAATATTTTGGTTCCACGTGGTATTTTAGTATATAACCAGAATGAAGTATTGTTAGGTAGGTATAATTTTTCAAACTTTTTGCTTAAAGTTGTACAGTTATTGTTACTTTTCTTTTCTCCTTTGTTAAAAATCTTATAGGAGATTTAAACGAAGAGGATTCAAAAATATTAGTAGCCAAAGGTGGTTTTGGAGGCACAAAACAGACAGGTTACTGTGGATTGAAGGGAGAATCTCAGGTGATAAAGTTAGATTTGAAACTGATTGCCGATATCGGATTAGTTGGCTTTCCCAATGCTGGTAAAAGCACATTCTTGGCAGCAGTTTCAAATGCCAAGCCTAAAATTGCTAGTTATCCTTGTAAGACTTTTTACATATTTTATTAATTGCTCATTAATTTTGATCTTACAGTCGTGCTTTTTCTGTTGTAGTCACTACCATAAGGCCCAGATTAGGAATCATGAACTACAATGATTTCAGAGAAATTACTGTTGCAGACTTACCAGGTCTGATTGAAGGAGCGCACATGAATATCGGGATGGGTCACAAGTTTTTAAAACATATTGAAAGAACAAAGCTACTTATGTTTATCGTAGATATACAAGGATTTCAATTGTCGCCCAAGCATGGACATAGATCCTGCTTGGAAACTGTAGTCTTATTAAACAAAGAGATTGAACACTACAAACCAGACTTATTAAAAATGCCAGCAGTGCTTATAATTAATAAAATGGACACTGATAATGCTGATAATATTCTCAAAGAAATTAAACCAGCATTGCGCAACTTATCAAAGTATGTGTCTACATGTCCAGAGGAAATGCAACCTGAACAGGTGATACATTTTGATGATATTTTACCGATGTCCTTAATCTCAAAAGATAAAAATATACAAATAGTCAAAGACAAGTTACGAAATATATTAGATAAATATGAAGAGAGGAAACATGCTCTTGAACATGGTAACTTGGACTCCCGGCTAATGAACAGGATAAACCGACAATTTGAAGAGCACACACCAACCGTTGTATAAATTTATAATATAGGAAAATAAATCTTTTTTAAATAATTCTAATGCTATTGTTAATGTAATAATGACTCGAAAAATATGCAGATTTAAATCGAATTTTTATCGCAGGAGTTCGAGGTGGCACTGTATAGAAATTTGTGATTGTTTAAAGTCTATTTAATTTTACTAATTTACATTTTATGTTTGCATCTTGTACTCTTTCGATCCAACTTTCTCCGAATGATGCGTTTTTCTCGATAGATACCGTTTCGATTTCTTCTCTATTTCGAAGAACGTTTATGTTTGCCATCCACTTTTCCGCACCGTTCCACGCTATCATTACACCATTATCATTGCATAAACGAGGTGGAGTTCTAACGAATTTAAAGCCTCTTTCCGAACAAACAATTTCTAAAGTCTTTGCTAAGAAATTGTTGCAAGCCACTCCGCCGGAAATTACCTATATTGAAACAAATATATAAAACAAAGTCGAAAATTAATTAATGTAATCTTAGGCATACCAAAGTTCGCTGTTCTTGTGGTATCAAATTCATCTTGTTAATAAATTCCATTGCCCTTTGTGTTCTGAGACATATATGTTTTGCAAAAACCAGTTGTATGGCAGCGCAAAAATTATACACGTCGGAAATTTCTGCACTATTAGCAACATCAAAATTTTTTTTATCGAGAAATTTAAAACTTTTGCTCGATATACCTGCAAAACTAAATTGACAATCTCTTTTTTGTGTTAAGACAGGCTCGAAAAAGAATTTAGTTGGATCTGACGCTTTGCTTGCTGCACTTTCTATTGCCTGACCACCGCTCATATGCGAGAATTCTGATATAGTTGCAAGTTTAAGTCTACGAGCAATCTGCAAAATTTAAAACAAATCTATTTATTGTTATACATTTCATAGATGTTTTTACGAGTTCTTTCATAAAATTTTATTGATAATTTTTAAAGATAAAATTTTAAATCCAATAAGTTATAATCAAACATGGGATAGGCAAAAATTTGAAGATATACCTTATCCAGAATTTCACCAGGTGCATTATCTAATGTAGTACCCAATGTATAAAATTTATCAACATTTTCAACAATCGCTAATAAACTGTGGCCACCTGATACAAGCAAAACAAGATAAGGAAAGTCTACCTACAAGATATTTATATGAAGTTTCTTTATGTTTGACGTCATATATATGTTTTATACATATAATTAGCTCTTAACATACTTTCTGTATCATTCGGACAGTTAATGCATGAGCTTCCATATGATGTATTGGTATATATGGTTTGTTACCGATCCTGGAGAGATATTTGCCAAACTCATTTCCAGTATTAAGCGATAAGGGAAGACCTGGTTTTGTTGTAGCTGCAATAGCATCTATATGTCTTAGTCTTAGATTCGCAGATTTTAGTGCATCCTCACAAACTGTAGTAATATGTTGTCTATGCATTTTATCAGCAATTGAAGGTATTATACCACCATATCTATAAATGAAAAAGCAACTATGACTTACTAGAACAATTTTGCACAGTTTTTAGATTTGTTTTTAATGTTTTCTAATAACATATAAAAGTCAATTCTTATATATTAGATAATAAAACAAATATTAAGAATATATTATATAAATTTAATAAATCTAGATAAAAATTTTTGAAGTGGTTGTGATTTAAGTGTGTATTGAATTCATGTGTGGTTGAATTCATTCAACTTCATAAATAATTTGTAATTAAGTAATTACTTTAAATGAGTAAGACATTGCGAATTTATCGCCTCGCCCAATATCTTTCCTGTAGTATCTACGATTCCACATCCTGTATCGTCGCAGCTTGTTTCGATTCCTAAAATAATAGCTGGTCTGTCGTTTACAAATTTTCGTATCGCGTTTAATTTTGAACATCTAGGCTGGCAAAATTCTAATAACGTTTTACGCGATAAAAAATACGCGCATTTGGCCATTTCGTCTCAAAATAAATATCATGTGAGTTAACCAATACTAAGCAAACAGGTTAGGGGGATATAAAGTATACAGCTAATATCTCATCGAATTAAAACCGCTAGAGTATACTTTCACCAGAATTTTTGCCTGTACAAATTTATCAATTATACAATGCAAATATATGCTATTTGTTTGAATTTATCTGACATATTCTTTCACATTTCTCAAACGCGCCATGCATGCATTCTTCGAACATACTGATTGGCTTACCGAATAGGGAATTTTCAGTCCTAGAAGCACTTCTCTAATCACTCCGAAGACCAATCAGTAGTATCGGCACGTTCGAAAAAACTGTGCAACAAATAAAATTTCAATCCAAACACGTCGTTACGACATATCTCCATGAAAATCTAGTAAAAATTCCACAACGCCGCGGAGGTACAAGAAGGTACAGTGACATAGGATTGGCCGAATTTGAAAACATCGGTGAGGTAATCGATCGATCGAACCAACTGCCCATCCCTTTACTCCTATTTATCGATAAATTCTCCGAACGCGATTGTATCGCGGCCATCATAGGCTCAGTTCAGTGAGTTTGGTCAGTCGGGTTCAGTTCGGTTTCTAGTCGGTTCCAGTTGAGTCGGTGATGTTAACGTTGGTGTTCATTACGCATTCTAGGAAAAATCAACGCGTAAAGGGCGTGTAAAATGCACGAGTGCTGGAGTTCTCGGACTCTTGGCTCGGTCACGGCCTCGGCCTCGATGACGCTGCCGGGAGCGATGAGCGCGTGGAACGCGAGTAGCAGCGTGCGGATACAATAGAGAGTGGCTTAGTCGAAAGCATCGAAAGCATCGTGCTGCCAGGACAAGACGAAGATGTTCGCGTTTTGAGGAACCGTGCCGTCCTAAGGAACCGAACCACGGATTAACCGATCTTGGCTAATTTCTTGTGATTGCTCAGCAGACGATGCTCTTTGAAAATCCCATGAACTTTTCTTAAACGAGCGCGTGTGACTCTCGAGCATTCGGTGAAATGTTTTCATCGCCGGCGTCAGCGGTGGGCGAGCCATCGGGCTACGATTTTCAGAAAGAGGAGAACGCTGCCAAGTGGAAGGGAGTGTTTGTCAACTCCCTGCGCAAGGTACATCTTTCGTTGCTCCGATTCTGCTCCGCTCCTTGTCGCTTCATCTATCCCTCTCTCCCTCCTCTCCTCCCTCTCCCACTCCCTCCCCTCATCTCTTTTACTCGCGCACGCTCCTCTCTCTCTCTCTCTCTCTCTCTCTCTCTCTCTCTCTCTCTCCTTACCCATCTTGTATACTTTGCTTTCTTGTCTTCTACTATCCCGTTCTATCCCCTCCACTTCATCCCCGTCCCTTCCCCTCATGTTTTGTTCGCTCCAACGCTCGATCATTTTTCGTCCCAATGATTTTACGTCGAGGCTGGATCGATCAACGACACTGACCGACGTCATCACTGTGCGCGGCCACCATATGATTTCTCAAATGCTTTCCTGTCAACATCAGCGATTGGTGGATTTTTTTTATATCATACTCTCGCGCCTATCTCTATTCTCCGACTATCGACTCCTTTTGCCGACTTATCTGTTCCAAAGTGTTATATTTTATGATATAATCTTATATATCCTTAGCTAATGATGTATAATAATATGTCAGTAATAATATATTGTAGACATGTTATATAGCCAAGAAAATATTATCATTGTATAGGTACTAGAACAAGTACATCCTAGTCTTGAAGCTCGACAAGATGCCTTAGACTATGTGGAAAGTTTAATTTTGAGAATGCTAGGCATGCTTTGTGGACATCCACCTCCTCAGACTCCTCAAGATGTAGAGGAAAGAGTAAGACGGACGTTTCCTACACCTATTGACAGATGGGCTCTTCGTGATGCGAGAGACGCTTTAGAGAAGGGAAAAAAGAAGTCGCCATTAGTACTACCAGTTGATAAGATTCATCAATTATTACAAAAGGTACATACTATATGTTAGCTTATTCGTACATTTGCATGCAAATTTTAATGTTTAAAGATCTTACATATCAAAGCAGTATAATCATATAATATATTTTTTTTTTAATAGGAAGTATTACAGCACAAAATTGATTCGCAAGTTAGCTTGTTTGTCGTGGGTGTTTTGGAATACATTTCTGCTGATATTTTGAAGGTTGGTAATATTCTAAATATTAAACGATTTTAACCACTCATTCGTTTTTATTTGAAAAGAATTGTCTAGGAATTTAAGAATTTTTATTTTCTTTTCAGCTAGCTGGAAATTATGTGAAGAATATTCGTCATGTAGAAATTTCATGTGAAGACATAAGAGTCGCGATGTACGCAGATATGGTAAGACATTGTTTGTACAAATGTACAATTTGTGTTGTATCTCTGTATTGCACCTTCATTAATATACAGTCTGTATCATGTCTTACCATTTACATTGTAAGGCTGATTTGAGTTTATCCACATTACGGACGTACATACATATATACATACATACGTGCGTACACACTACACACTACACACACACGCGCGCGCGCGCGCACACACACACGCACACATTTAATTTGTGAATATTATACATATGCAATATATATACATAGATATGTTGTGTAAGTATATAATGATAATATGATTTTATCATGTGATACTTTATATTTTGAATCAGTCTTATGAAATAGACATACATACATAGTATATATAGTTTATGAGGCTTGTATAGAGAAAATGTAAATTAAAATGAATGGTATTACATTGCATTAAATAGACAATAAATACAGTAGAAGAATATGATACCTTGCTAGTAATAGTTTGTGATTTATTGATCCAATGAATTAATGCCTTTATAAGCTATGCACTGGATCTCGGTGTGAAGTATTTCTTTTATTTAATCTCTCATACAAACTCCAAATGTTTCGATCTTAGTTCGTATCCTTTTCAATGTCAAAAATTTACATTCACGAAATCATTATATTTCCTGATACAATGAGTTTCGTCAAAGGTAATTAGAATGACATGTTAACGAAACGAGAGTTATAACTCGTCAGGTTTTGTTAACATGTCATTCTCATTACCTTTGACGAAACTCATTTTACCACAAGGAAACACAATGATTTCGCGAATGTAAATTTCTGATATTGAAAAGGATCCGAACTAGGATCGAAACGTTTGGAGTTTGTATGAGAGATTAAATAAAAGAAATACTTCATCCCGATTCACCCCGAGATCCAGTGCATGGCCTACAAAGGCACTAATTCATTGATTGATTCATCTCAAAGGAGCCTTAATTCAAAGTAATTTTACTTATATGGTTTATGATTTATTGTTTCTAGATTCAAATTATTGTTTTGTTATATCATATGTTTGCTTAATTTATATTAAAATGCATTACAAATTGTCTAACTTGTTTTGGTTTGATGAAAAAAAACTAAAATTGTAAAATTTGTACCATATTTAAAATATCTACTACTAGCAACAGGTAGTGCACTAATGAATTTCAAAATTGACTACACTAGGCTAATTGTGGCTGCATATATTTTATGCTTGGTTACATGCTTCCCACTAATATATAACAACTTCAACCATACTCATTCTTCGCTCACGCTGTTCTAGGTGGTACGTACTCGTGGTTGCACAGAAAAGATTTAAGGTGTTACAATATTTTTCTGCTACTCTTATATCGTTTTTATAAAAGTTATATTTAATTTTATATTTCCTTTTTGTTTTTCTATTATTGTTCCTCAACTTAAATTTTATATTAAAATTTAAGTATTAGAAAAGTTGACATATTGATTGCATTTAGTACTACTCACTTAGTGAGCAACTGTAGTTCTAAATGTATCCATTGTAACTTTTGTTACATTATGCAATTAATATCAATATAATATAAGTTTATACATAAACAAAATGTATAATTATAATGTAGCAAGATATGCTCAACATATAATCTTTTTAAAATTATTTTGATTATATCTTTCTAATCTGTGAACATTAGAGGAAATGCAACCTGAACTATTAGAGGAAATATATTTAAAAACAGCTAAATCTTAAAAATTTTTGATAAATAATACTGGTGATACTAATAATCTTGGTAATCTAGTTATTTTGTGTGTGTGTTCGTAAATATTAGGTCTGTTTTCTGTGGTTGAACTAGTGTACACTTTTGAAACTTAAAGTAAGATAGATGTACGTTTGATATTTGTCTAAAGTGAGGAAGAGAGTTCTAAAACAGTCTAGTGCAGGAACAGAAAACAGACCACTCGTGTATTTTATTCCTGTCAATTCTCTAAAAATATGTAACTCACTTGTTTAACATATCTCACTTGTTTAAAAAACTTGCTTGTTAATATATTTATTTTATACATGTGCAGAATATTTATATCTTAGCATCAACATCAAACGTTAGAGCAAATTAAACATCAGTAAGCTTTCTCTTAAACTTTTTCATATTTCTCCCCTTTTTATAGCTAACTGTAGAAAAAATATAATTTGTTCAAATTGCGTGATCTCCTCTATATATTTTCATCCCTTTTAAGTGTAGAGAATTAATATAATAAATCATTTTTTTTATACGAGTATTATTATTTATACTATGTTTATGCTAATTGTTATAGCATGCGTTTAATAATATTTATGTGAATCGCAAATGTATTGACAGAAATTATTTTAACAGCACATACAAATTTTTATAGAAAATTTTTAATAATTTTTAAGATCTTTTTTAATTGCTTCTGTGTTTCGTGCTGTTATGGTGGTTATTTTTGTTATTGGTAAAAATAATGATAAATATTCTAACTATTAAATATTTTATTTATTATTTCTTCTCTTGATATTGATGTTTAAGGGTACAAAAATAACAGAATAATTATTCGCAACAATAAATATTTATAGGTACTGATGGACATGTTTTATCAAGATGATTGTACGGAAGGTCAGCAAAGTAGTTTGGGCACAGTTGTTTCGCAGACTTATGAAGAGTCTGTTCGAGATCTCATTCATGATGAACGACATTATATTCGTGATTTACATATGATTATTAAGGTAATATATTATAAGTATTGTTAGAGAATATTGAACTTTATGGAAAAAGACTAAAAAATTACTTTTTATTATTAGGTATTTCGTGAAGAAATTGCGAAATTATCGCAAAATAAGAGCGAACTTGAGACGCTTTTCAGTAATATTACGGATATTTATGAAGTTACTATGACATTACTCGGCAGTTTAGAAGATATAATGGAAATTACGGAAGAGAAACAAACACCTACGGTTAGTTCGTGCTTTGAAGAATTAGCAGAGGCAGCAGAGTTTGATGTTTATATAAGGTATATTTATTATATTTATTATATTATGCAATATATACATATGTTGTAAAATTCTAATTAATTATATTATATTGTTAGATATGCAAAAGATATTAATAGTTCAGCTAGTCGGGAAGTTTTAACAAATTTATTGTCAAGACCGGAAGCTAGTACAGCTTTGCGAGCAGCAGGTCATGGTTTTAAGGAGGCTGTTAAATATTATCTGCCAAAACTATTATTGCAACCTATATGGCATTGCTTCTTGTATTTTGATTATATAAAGGTAGCTTTACATTTGTTGCGTATATATAAAATTATTTCTGCAATAATCTACTTTATGTATTTAAAAATCTTAGGTTTTACACAAACGCACATCTAATACAGAAGATAGCGAAACTCTGGAACAGGTGCAAGGTTTATTGAGACCATTACAAATGGAATTAATGCAATCTGTAGCAAGTCTTCCGAAAAAGGATAAAGGTTTACGAATGCAGAGCAGGGCAAGGAGACAAGCGGCACTAGAGAAAACTAGTGAATTACAAAAGACTGTAGATGGTTGGGATCAGCGAGATATCGGGCAGTGTTGCAATGAATTTATTAGAGGTAACAAAGAAGTACATCTTTTTATTTCTCGATACTCGAGCATTTCTTTCAATTGTTAATGATTATATATCGATAATGTTTGTACAGAGGATACATTGAAAAAGGTGGCTAGTAATGGACGGAGATTAACAGAAAGAAAAGCCTTGTTATTTGACGGTTTACTAGTATTGTGTAAACCAACTGGTAGTAAAAGAGTCAGTGTTACTGTTGCAGCAGGTATTGTTGCAGTCGGTGGACATTCGACTCACCAAGGTGAACTTCGATTGAAAGAGAGACTTTTTATTAGAAAAGTCGATATTATCGATAGAGAAGATACCGAAGGTAAACTTATGTATAACTTTATTACAATTTTGTATTACATTTGTAATTTTTTACATTTATAATTAAAATATTTTTATAGAATTAAAAAATGCTTTTGAAATTGCACCAAGGGACCATCCTAATGTTATTCTTGTTGCCAAATCTGTCGAAGATAAGAATAATTGGATGGCAGATTTAGTGATGTTGAATACAAAAAGTATGTTAGAAAGAACTTTAGATAGTATCCTCTTGGATGAGGAAAGAAAGCACCCATTGAGGCTACCTCCATCTCATTTGTATAAATTTACTGAACAAGATAGTCCAGAAAATATTGTTTTGGAGGCTAGGGAAAATGGTGGTGTTCCCTTGATTAAAGGCGCAACTTTGATAAAATTAGTAGAAAGATTAACTTATCATATATATGCTGATCCAGCTTTTGTAAGAACATTCCTTACTACTTACAGGCAAGTAGAAATAGTTGTATTATAATAATCCCTTCTTTCTATATGTTAAATTATTCATTAATGATTTATTTTAGGAGTTTTTGCTCCCCTCAAGAATTATTAGCATTGCTAATAGAAAGATTCGATATACCAGATCCTTCATTAGTCTATGGTGAAGAAGAAAAACCTTCTGTATGTAAGACGGTCAGAGAAGATTGGAAAAGATATAGGAAAGAATTTTGTCAGCCGGTACAGTTTAGAGTTTTGAACGTTTTAAGACATTGGGTTAGTATAACATTTTCTAATTTCTACTTACAGATTAAAATTATTTTAAATTTTATTTTGTTACATCAATTTTCTTAGGTGGACCATCATTTTTACGATTTTGAACGTGATAGAAATCTTTTGGAAAGATTGCAACTGTTTTTGGATACAGTTAGTGGTAAGTCTATGCGGAAGTGGGTTGATTCAGTAATAAAAATCGTTCAAAGAAAATGCGAACCGTCAGAACAACGACCTATCACATTTAGTTTTGAACGATCTCCTCCATCAATTGAGTGGCATCTTAAAGTTCCTGAGGATGAATATGGAATACTTACGGTATATACATATATGTTTTTGCCCTTAATTTTTTAATATTAATTATCGAAATATATAAAAATAACTTGTATTAATTACAGTTACATCCTATCGAATTAGCAAGACAGTTGACGCTATTAGAGTTTGAGTTGTATAAAACAGTAAAGCCTTCCGAGTTAGTTGGATCTGTATGGACAAAAAAGGATAAGGAAAAGACATCACCGAATTTGCTAAAAATGATTAAGCATACAACAAATGTAAGCTTTTATTTTAATTAAATCATTGTAAATATATTGCGAGATAAAAAATGTTTATTGTTTTATATCACATTAATTTGTTTTCTACACGGTTTGTTAGTTCACAAGATGGTTAGAAAAGACAATAGTAGAAGCTGAAAATTTTGACGAGAGAGTAGCCATTGTATCACGTGCAATCGAAATAATGATGGTGCTGCAAGATCTCAATAATTTTAATGGCGTTCTGGCCATTGTCAGTGCCATGGGATCGGCTTCGGTTTTTAGATTAAAATTTACATTTCAAGTACGTCCAATTTATAACACATAAGTAAAATCAAATTTCTTATATCAAACGTTTATTTACACATTTATTTTTACAGCAATTAAACGCACGATTAGAAAAAGCGTTGGAAGAAGCACGAGAGCTTAACAATGATCATTTTCGAAAATATCAAGAGAAACTAAGATCTATTAATCCACCTTGTGTACCATTCTTTGGTAAGTCATTATACAAAACACGTAAATAAAAAATTATTATAAAAAATATATTAAAAATCATAAAAATTATAAAAATGACACTTTTTCTCCATTCTTAGGAATGTACTTGACTAATATTCTGCATATTGAAGAAGGAAATTCAGATTATTTACCGGGCACGGAGCTAATTAATTTTAGCAAACGGAGAAAAGTAGCAGAAATAACTGGTGAAATACAACAGTATCAGAATCAACCCTATTGTCTTTCAGTGGAGTTTAAAATAAGACAATTTCTTGAAAACCTGTGTCCTTTTGATCCTAATATGAAAGATGCGGATATAAGCAATTATTTGTATAATAAAAGTTTAGAAATAGAACCAAGAGGATGTAGGCAGCCTCCACGATTCGTAAGTGTTTCTTTTAATACTCTGATATAGTGTAAAAAAATTGTTAGTTTTTTACATTTTCTTAAATTTTTGCAACAGCCGCGTAAATGGCCAGAATTGAATTTGAAATCGCCAGGAATTAAAGCTAGAACCGGAAGATTACCAGCTCCGTTACACGTGGTAACATCCAACATAAGATTACATGATTCTTCAGCGGACACGCTTTCCCACGAATTACCGGAAACACCTCCGCATGGACCACACCTTCCCACAGTTCCACAGGATCACAGCGTTTTTGCGCCTGTTATGTTTCCTGGTATGTATGCTATATTTAAATCATTGTTAACAATAATTATTATAAAATTTAAACAAAAGTTATTAGAGGTGGCTCGTAACATAAAACATAAATAAGAAGGAGCATACAGTCACATACGTAAGATGTTTTTCACAAAAGTCATATATTAAAAATTTTACATGTAAACGTTTCGGTCGTGATTATCATCAGTATAATAAAGAAAATGTGAGATAAATACTAAAATTGCGCATTAAGATGTCGAAATACAAAGAGTAAAATTAATCCTGTTTTCTTGATCTTTTTGACAATGATTGAGATTTAAACTTATTTCTTGATACTTGTATGTTAAACACGGGATTATCAGATTCTAATAAAATAAATTTCTATAAGTTGTTATCATTTAATTAATTTGTTGAGAGAAATTACTTATAAAAAACTTACTCGTGTTTTTACTATCAAATATAACGTAGTAGAGGGAAATCAATAGATGGAGTATATTGGTGAAGTGGAACTATTTTTTAATTATAGGTATAAAAATTTCAGGAAAGCGCAATGTATCACTTTATTTGTTTATTCCTGACTCTTGCTTCTTTATGTGTATCATTTCTGAAATCATTCTTTTATAGTATAATATTTCTGAATCTATAATTTTTGTGTTGTCCCAATCAATTTTGTGATCGTGTTCTAGCTGGTGCTGGGAAAACTACAGATATTATATTAGAAGATTTTTTTTTATGTCAGCTTTGTGTTCTTTCAAACGTGTATTAAGTTTCCGTTTAGTTTGACTAACAAGAAGCGTTCAGAACAATCAATTTGATAAACAACATGTGAATGTTCTTCTCTTTTAATTTGATCTTATTTAATTTTGATGAAATGATTTAAAGAGTTTAACGGTTTATATGTAATGTTAAAATTAAATTTATATATTATGTATGGTTTTAAATTTTTCTGAAACATTTTTGAAATATGGGATAGTACAAAATTTCCTATTTTCCATGGAGTCAGAAATGTATCATTAGTTTTGATGTTATCAAAATTATTAAGTGACAATGCTTTTATTCTATTGTTGATAGTAAAAAAGAGGAATTCTAATGAATAACCATTAATTATGGAAGTATTGATTAAAGAATAAATATTTCTTTCATGAAATTTAGGATGTGCAAGGAATAAAATTCTGTCTAGTTGTCTAATAACTACACCTTTCTTATGTTCGATCGGATGATTAAAATTAAAGTTTAAGTACCTACCAGAATTTGTAGATTTTTTATAATTATCAAAAATAATCGTTTTTATAATTTTCAAAAATAATTATTATATAACTCGTCGTCTTTCTATAGCTGCGCCACTTCCGGCATCACCTAGTCCATCTGTCAGCATGTCGGCGCTTTCGATTGCTTCGTCGAGTAGCCCTCAATCGCCTGGTCCTTTCTTTACTCATCAAAGTAATCATTTCATCTTTAATGCCAGCACTATAAACATGATAAGTGCTCCAACGTGTCTACCGTTGCCAGGTGGAAGCCCCAGTGCAATACCAACGCCATCGTCGCCTGATATACCTCCTAACCAATCTCCACCACCGCTACCACCTAGAATACCATCTAAACGACGAGAAAATTCATGTAGCGAATCACCACAACAAGTAAGATTTTAAGATTAACTTAAGATTCATCAGATTAAAAGTTTTTAAATCATATTATTGCTCGAATTTAATAAGATATCCTTATGAAATTTGAAAATAGAATTTAAATTTTCTCTGAAAAAAAATGTCTCTAAAGAAAATTTTTTAAAATTTTATTTTATTCAATATCTATATTTACCAATTTTATCATTACTTGTCATATTGGAAGATATCGGATTTTCGAACTTACGTTACTTTAAAGTAGAAATATTTTGCATTGAACTTCATAACAAATAGGACAATATGTTATTGTAATTTTCTTTGAGAAAATGAAAAATTTGCTTCAAACAAATGTAGGTAAAACAAGTTCCAAACAGACCAATTCTTCCTCCGAGAGATGATATCTCGCCACCGCCGTTACCACCACGACTTCCAGCAACTCTAAATCCAAGTAGTTCGGCATTACTGACGCGCCGAAATTCTACGTTAGAAAATACAGGCTGTACTGTTGTTCATTCACGGAGACATATGTCTTTCAATAACCCTAGCCCTACAAAACCTCCACCAACGCAACCTAACGGTGAGATATTATATCTGTTCGCAAATTTATATATGTTTATATAACGGTTTATATATTTATTTTTATGTTATTATGTCTCAGGATCAGTGACACCGAAGTTACCACCAAAACCTTTACCTGGACGTCCACCTACTACCATGTTTAATTTCAGCGCTCCTCCCGGACCTAGCTAAGTGTTGCCTTTCCCAGTTTTATTTTTTTACCTTGTTGAAAGAAACATTTTCAGTCGCAGCTTAGTCAATTCGGTAAGTAAAACTGGAATCTTTCTTATTGCACAAATTATTAAAAGAACAATGTCTATATAATAAGTCGATGGATTTCAAATAAAAAATAATTAAATGAAAAGAATATAATATTATAAGTCAAAAATATAATATTATAAGTGATGATTTGATAATTGTGACAATTCTCTGGATACATTTTTAAGTGTGTTGTTTGAAATAGTGCTTTGTATTCATCATATTTTATGATCTTACTGAATAGACTACGCTCAGTATCTGTTACCTGTATGGCTTCCTTCCTTTAAATCCCCTTCTCTCCTTTAAACACAACTGTGATATAGTTTTCATTAAAAAAATATGTTAATGTAATTATATATAAACATAGATTTTAAAATAATAGACGTAAGAGAGAAAGTAATGTGTGTCGAAATGAACATATATACAAAACATGTATACATATATATAAATATATATGTGTGTATATACTATTATTTAATTAATATCAAGAAAAGAGCGTATATGAAATATATATAGGGAAAAAAATAAAGAGAGGGGGGAAGGAGAAAGAAAGAAAATACATGTATATTATTATAAATATATATATATATATACACACAATATTGATTGTAATAATTTCTAGAAAACAATATGGCATTATGTAAAATAAAAAAGTATATTGTGTAACAGTATTTGCAACTCTTACCTTATATCTGCGTTTTTTTACAGTGCATCTGGTAATAATTAGAAACAAGATATTAAAAAGCGTAAGTATAAGTTTATTATAAACTTAGACTTAAATCATTTGGAAACAATATTGAGAATAGGGAGAAAAATGTTTAAATAGAGAGAATTTGGCTTTATTTTTTCTTATTCTCATGTAACCCTGATTTTTATGAGTAGAATGTATATAAAGTAACGCGTTCGATTTTACGGGACTTCCCATACTGTAGAGCTATCGCTGCGTTTACTGTGCCTGACATCAGCATTAGTATCTAGAACGTCGCTCAATTTACTGAATCGTCTGGTCCAGTTTCCTCTTCCGATGCTTCCGGCGTCTCTCAAAACCGAAAGTAAATCATCTTCGTCTTCTTTCCCCCTTATTTCCTTATCGTATTTTTCTTCTTGAGCGATCAGTCGTTCACGTTGCAGCTGAGTTGTCAGAGAATGCGGTACAGCCGGTATTACGTAGCTCATAATGCCGGTAAGTGCGAAAACCTGTAAAAAAAAATTTTCCTTGCATCGAAGCTAATTTATTGCTAATTAGTAAAAGAATGAGTGTGCCAACTTACAACGTGCTCGAAGACAACGACGAAAGCTAAACGCGCGGCGAAAACGTGCCAATACTGCGGACTGAGTCCATAAGGCTCAACAGGGTCATCCGGACCGTTTCTGTAGCCTCTATACTGACACGTCTCTGGATGTTTCTCTTCCATATCACTCTTCATATCGTCGCGATAATCGGAAGTATTGAATTCTGACAGGGAGCTATCGATGTAGCCTATCAAATTTTCAGTTGGCGAATAAACGAACGCGTATACGCTTCGTGGAATAAAGTCGGATGTGTACGCGATAACAAAGGCCTAGAATATGTATATTTTGTAATTAAAGACTAGAGTGATTTGTGCAACTCGACGAATTTATTTGTGCGTGCGTACATTTGATACCACTGCCACGTAAGTTACACCTCTAAGAATACCAAACCAAGCGCCAATGTCTTCTACTCGCTCGGCCAATGGTCTTCGAGCTTCCTTGATCATTTTATATGCGTCCAATCTTATCTCAGCGATATTATTCAATAAAGCGAATAAAGGTGCTAACGGAAATGCTGCCACAAATAATGTTACAAACCCGTACTGCAGAACTGTATAAATATCGTAAAAAGAAAGAATAATATCTGTAAAAAAATATTCCTCCTAAAATTAGTAGTGTGAGACTCACTCATCTCTAGATACTCCTCGAATAAAGCTAATCTCCCCGGGTCTTGAAGTTGATAATCTTTCTCCCAACAGGTATATCTTCTATCGTGATTCTTTGTCGCCGCGATTTGCGTTCTCTTGCGCCACCAATTCCATAATTTCGGTGACAATATTTCGACAAAGTTATTAAAGCATTGTTTACCGACCATTATAATCGCAAGTTGAATACAGACTTCTGAAAGGCAACCAGCGGGATCGCATACGTCTGTTTTAATACGATAAAATTCCGACGCTCTTGCATCTGTGTCGCCAGGATAAACGAAAAATCTCCCCTAAAATAAATCAATATGAGATTCAAACGAGTTCAATATGAGTTGTCGTTTAATGTTGTAATATACCTTAAAAAAGGCGATGTAAATCAAGGAAGAATAAAAGTTGACAAATTCAAATAAAAAGATTTTAAATGTATAACTGGATTCGTATTCCGTCTGCGTTCTCGGATTTTCCAAATTAACCATCCAACGAGCCAATCGATGATATATTCGTGTAAGTATCATTATTATCACCAAGTTAATAAGAGCGGCGGTCATGGAAGTGAATATCTTTGCGTGTTTTTTTAAAAAATTACCACCTCCATGGTAAAAGACGGCAACTAACGAAATACGGTACACGATTGTTCCTAAAACCGCACCGAGGACTATGCATATCTGCGCAAAAATAAAAATGATGATAATCTGTGATGAGATATTGTGTATCAAAGAAAGGAAAAAATGCATGATATAATTACCATGAAAAATACTATCGAGCCAGTAGCCAGAGATCGAATGGCTTTAGACAACACGGGCAAATACGGTTCTTTTTCCTTTGTCACGGGATTTATTCGGAATGTTTTAACAGACGTCTCGAATTCAGGTCTCGGCTCTTCATCATATTCGGCATTTTGAAGATCCCATTCCCAAACAAGTACAGCTTGTCGTCGTTTCCATAGCTCAAGAAACGTAGTAGCTATTACATCACATCGAAAAACTTAAATCTTATAGGAAAACACGATTGCATGGAAGAAAATATTTCACTCTTTTTCGAATCTTACCCCAAAAAGACATAAAAATGGCAAAGAAGACAGTCGCGGGATTGTCAAATAAGTAAGTTAATTTCGAGAATATACAGGAATCACCAAGTCTTGGATAGGTACACGCTTTATCGCAAAGAGGGCATAAAGTGATATTTCCTGAAATGTTGCATTATATAAAATTAGAAATATTATAAACATTGCAGAATGATTTGTCAACAGAAACTTTTGTACAAGCATATTTTGTATAATGAGAATATTTACCAGCTAAGTTAGAATCGCATATTTCCTTGCTGGGAATATTATCTTCGCCATCCATGCTTCCAAGACCGTAAATAAAACATAAAAATCCCACCACTGCTGGTGGATACAAACATTTTGTATAAAATCCTAACCATGCGAAGTAAAGAGCGACTTTTTCACCGAAATATCGTCTTATTAACCATAATGGCTGTTTTTTAAACCTAAAAATGTATGCAAAAAATTTCGCTCAAATAATATGCAATATGAGATAGCCGAAATTATTTTCTATTACCATTGCGCGGGTCTCGCCCATATTAAGTACAACAAGTATCTATCGAGAATTTCTCCGTTGTGCATGGGTTTATTATAAGGACCCTCGTGCAAAGGAAAACAATCGAGATACGTTTTGTCCGCTAAAAGCCTGCGAATACCACCAGATTTCTCATGATTCTCGTCGTATCTCGCTCGTAATAGTATTTGCATTACTATTAATGATCTCTGGGCGGGCGTATAAGCATTGTCCCTCTCCTTTACGATAAACCTGTCAAACATCAAATTCGATAATGAAGTTCCATAATAACTATCTGATTTCTTTATTTAAATACCTTTCTTCGCGATCGCTAGAATCTATGTAGTCATAAAAATGTGGTTCCTCTGGATATTTTGACGTATCCCAAGTATGTATCTTATGTAGCCATTCGGCCCATCGCGCCCATCGTGCCCAGAATTTCGATATTTCTTTGGTATTATCTGTATCCTATTCAAAAAATTCAGGTATTGATACAGAATGCGACGTTTAGAATGTGCCTAATATCTGATAAAAAAAAAAAACATACCCAAGTTTTCATAGGGATCGTTTTGAATCTCTTCGTAGGTAATTTTAGACCCATTACTTCGGCATATTGCACCTTGATTTTCCAAGGTATATGTAATTTTAAGAAGTACGTTTTTCCATCAAATGAGCTCTCCTTCGGCTCGAGCTCTAATTGCAGGCCTTCTTTCAAAAGATTTTGTTGAAACATTCGTCTCTGCTCTCGTCGACGAGCTTCTAGTTCAGTCATAACTCCTTCATTTTCTTCCTGATAGACTAATACCATATCGATTCTTCGATGGCCATCGCTAAAATTAAATCGAATCGATTAACGTTAGTTGCGAAACATCCTGTCGAAAGATGATCTAATTTGTAGATAATTATAATGTTTTTCTCGTACATGTATATTTTATACAAACATGCTTTAGTTTCTAAAACTAAAGCACTTTCGAACTAAACGACCTTTCGCATTTTCTTTCCCTAAGTCGTTTGCTTGCGCATGTGATAATAAAAAAATGATAAGAATCGCTAACATTCTAGGTAATTGTATTAATAGAAACGACTGACTGTGTCCATCTATATATATACTCGCCTCAGCACTTGATTATCTAAGCCTAAACGAGAGGAAACTAAAATAACCTTGTGACACATTATCATAATAGACAGCTGCTTACCGAAAATAAAGTACTTCAGGATCGACTTCCGTTTCTTTCGGTGGCAATGAATCCCCAGCGGTTTCAGCGAAATCCAACGAAACTGGCGTATCCGGTAGCGAGGGATTGATATCCGGAGTAGCGGGTGCCGCGAGTTTCGGACCTTGTTCAGTTTAAACAAAATTAAAAAATTAGCATACGTTTATCACTCTTTCCGTATTTTGACTTAATTAATCTTGACTTAACTAACTCTTCATCTTTTTCTAGTTTTAAAAATTATAAAAGGTGAAGAGCAAGTTAAACCGAAATTAAAGTTACATTAATAGAAACTGGCATTAGCCGTCTACGTTTTTCCGATGATTTCAGTGAGAATACCATATACT